GCAAGCTTTCCACTGATTCACCAAACAAAAATTCCGTAGCACTGTCAATAGTCAATCTAAAAAATAATGGCTGGATATCGAATCTTTCTCCCTTAGAATTTATGATATGTTTGGCAAGTGTCTTCAAATGAGGTTCTAACGACTTTACATGTGCAACTTGTTCCCGAGCAAATTGTGGTCTCAACATCGCCCGTGAGTGCTTCCATCCTGCTCCATCTAATGTGAAAATACCATCTCCCAACAATGGCTTGAAATGAGAATGTCTTTTTCCTAAGACAAAGTCATTAAACTGCGTAGCCAAAACGGCCTTGATGTTCTCAGGGTCCCGTGTCGCTATGGCATGCGTCCCTGCTATTCTGAAGTCAAAAGTATCAACTCCGAATTCCTCATATCTTTCCTTGGTCACGTCTACCATGGTCCCTTCTCTCTTAGCCTTTAAAAGGTTAAATACTAGTGGAATACCCAACAATGCATCTCGAGCAGTGACTTGCATTGGTTTTGCACCAAGCCTTTTCATTAAAATACGTTTATTGATCCATGTTAATATACTGAACAATACGTATCCTCCTATACAGATAAACCACCAATTGGTTACGTATGGTTCGACAGATTCAACAACTTCATGAACACTTGATGACATTTTTAACATTTATTGTTTCTGCTTCCTTAAAATGTCCGAAAAATAATTAAAAACTACCCTGACCAGACATATTTATAGATGCAAGCTTCCTTATGATAATACCGTTTTCTTGTTACTAATCTTCGTTCATCATACTTAAACCTTGATTCATATGATAAAAAGAACGATAATATCATGTGAATATGCGCGTAACGGATTTAACGGACTTTGTTCCGCAACCGCAACTAGATTACAGTAGAAGATCTCCAACAAATGCCAACCAATCCGTAGGATACTTCTTACCTCCGAAATTGTATTGTAATATGCAGCGCGCGTTTCGGTAGCACTGAGGGTTATTAAATACCCTCGCTGCGCGAGCAGTGAGACCTGAACTCTATGATGGGACCTGCATCATATTTGGATTACAATCATCTTAAATTCAGTCTTCAACTTGTCATATATGATATAATAATAATATTTGCTTATTTAAATCTAATATAATGCATTTTGACCCAATTTTCGGAATCAAAAGAGCTAGCGATAGTCGTATATAATAAATAAGTCAAGACATTCCAATAAACACACCATCTTGATGGCACATTGTCAAATGCGAACTCTTCCTTGGAGGGTATTTCTCACAGAAAGTACTCAAGGTAGGGAACATTTGTATTAACCTAACAACAATATAAGAAGCTTCTGTTAATGCAAACTGCTGGCCTAAGCAAATTCTTGGGCCACCGTTGAACGGT